TGCTGAATCCTTCCTTTGTGCCTCATCTGCCTTCATTGCTCTAGCCCACTCCCTTTCCAGCTCTGATACCAGGAGCGAGACGGGAATGGGTTTAGGAGGTAAGATGAATAAACAGGTCTCTTCTAATCTCCCTTCCCTTTGACAGACACCATCCCATCTGTCTTCTGTGAACTGGATGGGCTCACAAAAAGAAATGCATGTTTGCCACCAACTTCTGTAATTCGTTCCCAATATTTGATGTGTCTTAGGTAAAACACCCAAGTATTTATAAACATTATTCCAAAACTGTTCACATTGTCTCAGAAGTACTGTGTGACCTGTATCCCATGCTTAAGTGATGTATGTTGAATCCAGCATTCTAGTTTAAATTGGCAGATGTCAATTCACCAAATTAAATATAAGGTCCTGGTCCTCTTCTCTTATAGTGGTGTATGGGTAAATATGTTGTCTTGTCTGTTCTGGCATCTGCCCAGCATTTATGGATGGGAATAACCCAAAATGTACATATTTTCCCCACTAAGGTCTGCTTATGGAAATCATATAAAACAAAGTTGGTGTCTTTAATAGATGGTAGCCAGTCGTGGTATCCATGAATACTGACATTCCCAAATGACTTCATTATTTTGGGTGTAGAAGAGTGTTTTTATGAGGTTAATAACAACAGTTTCAGGTTGGTTAAAAGAGGGTTTTTTTTTCTTTTTCTGTTCAAAATAAAGTAGGGTGAAAGGATACCGGAATGTTTGACAGGAATAAAAAAGGAATAAAAAAGCTGCCATGTTAACCAACATAAAGCTAGAAATGTGTGTTTCCTGTTGTATGCTGTTTTGAAGTGGGGTGCCAGGGTCTTTCACATTAAATCAATTCAACTAACTGGCTGGATATGAAGGAGTTCCCAGGGCAAGGGATGAGTTCACACACTAGTCCAGTGTTTGTAATGGACATTGGCAGGCCTGGCAGAGCACAAAAATGGTGCCACCTTGCAAATGATATCATGTCATCAAGTGCTGCACCGAAACATCCAGTGAGCATCTCTGCTCATTCTAGCTCTAATGTATAACCCAAATTTACAAAAGCTGCTCATGAAGTTATGTTCATTTCCTAGGCATCTGATCTTGGAACTTAATCTCCTGTTCCACCTGGCCTTTGAATGCCTGTAATTTTTAACCCATCCCTCTCCCTAATAAATAGGTTGTTTTTTTAAACAACCTCTGCCTACTCCTGACTTTCAGTTCATAGGCACTTTGTCCCCAAGACTTTGGGAGGCAAAATTGCTCTGTTTGAAGTTTCCTGCATCTTCAGTCTTAGACATCTTCGAGAAGACATCTGAAGGCAGCCTTGTTTAGAGAAGCATTTAATGTTTGATGTTCTATTGTGCTATTAATTCTGTTGGGAGCCACCCAGATTGGCTGGGGAAACCCAGCCACATGGGCAGGGTATTAATAATAATAATAATAATAATAATAATAATAATAATATAATTACTTAAGGCCATATCTGCATACTTTTGATTCCATGAAATCCCAAGGCTGAGAACATGTGAGTGGATGCATGTTACAGCAGTTATCTAATTTAGACCATTTATAGGTGGAAAATCATGAGTTTGCCAGGGCTTAATCAGCCATTAGATGAGGCTATCACAAGATTTAGGACTTGTGAGCAAATAAACATTGCCAGAGAGCCTGTTTACAACTGCATTTCTTCTGCTTTTGATATAAAAAAATAAATAAACAAACAAATAAATAAATTTGTATTCTGCTCTTCATTTGAAGATCCCAGTGTGGTTCACAGCAGAAAAATACAAAATGAGAATACAAAATACATAACAACAACAACAAAAAACCTGGAAGAATTTTGAGGGATTATCAGATGTTATGCATATTTTCATGTGATTATATTCAGATTCCAGGGTTCTGGCCAGTTCACACAAGGGTATGTCCTGGTTTTCCAATATGGTACCTGCTTAAGCTAACCTGTCTTAAACATTCCGATTCAATAGGTGAACATGTGTAATAATTCTAGCCTTTCTAACCTCCCGCCCCCAATTCAGTTGAAAGGAACTTTGAAAAATTGCAGGAGCTTTTATGTGAAGTTATCTTCTGCTCTAAGGCTGCAGTTTTATGCATGCATACTTGGGAGTAAGCGATATTTAACTTGGTAGAATTTAACTTAGCGGTAAATACCTATGGTATATTTCTTTTTTTGCTAATTTGGTGCCCTAATTGTATTTTCAACAATTAAGTCAGCATTTTTTATTATTCTGCCTTTTTTGCAGCTTTGTAATAAAACCACATATAAATCCTGGTTCAAGCTTCCTAATTTTGGAAGCTAAGCCCTTTCCCTTAAAAGTGTGTGAACGTAAAAGTGTGTGTTGGGAAGGAGAAGACCAGAAGTGTCAGTTGTTAAAAAAAACCACACTGACTGGATTTTGTTGGGTGACAGTCAGTTAAAGGTTAACTACATTAGGAACGCTGTCTTCCCCTGTATCCATCCCTGTTGAAATTTGGGCAGTGCAATGTGACTTTCATGCATTTTTGCAAGGGATACTAGTAATGACTAGACATTATTGCCAAATTGAGTATTTAGTGGAGTGGGGTATAAGGTTGGATTTGGAGGAAGAATTTAATGGCAGAAGATGAAACAGGTGGATTTTTTTTTCTTTGCTGCCATTCTGATCCCAAGCATACTCAGAAATAAGACTCATAGAACTCAGTGGGGCTTGTGTTCAAGCATGCTTGGTTGGCATATGTCATGTAGGTTGTAACACATTTCAGATATATTTCCTTGTGAAAAGATTGCTGGAGCTTGAAATAGTTTTTGTTTCATTGTATAAATACTCAGGTTACATACGCTTCAGGTTACATACGCTTCAGGTTACAGACTCCACTAACCCAGAAATAGTGCTTCAGGTTAAGAACTTAACCTCAGGATGAGAACATAAATCGTGCAGCGGCAGCAGGAGGCCCCATTAGCTAAAGTGGTGCTTCAGGTTAAGAACGGACCTCCGGGACGAATTAAGTTCTTAACCTGAGGTACCACTGTATTTAGAAATATTGCAGATTAAGAGGATAATGGTTCTGGGGATCATTTAACAAGCTTTTTGAAAGTAGTGAACTTCTGATATGGACACATGCTTGTACTAGACAAAACACAGTAGCCCTATATTTTAGGTAACTCTAATGAAGGCTATGGGAAGCCTGAACCCTTAAACAAAATGCTTATAGCACAGCTAGGCACACTGCAATGCTGCTGAGACCCCAGTTACCCACCATCTTAATATCACAGAAACAATTATACATTTAAATTAACATAGGCAAAGTTTCTTTCATGACCCCCACAGTGCCTAGCAAAAACTCTTGACTAAGGGTGCTTGTGCAGTAAGCAGCTTCTCCATATCTAAAGGAAGAATGCAGTAGACTAATATATGAAGCAAAATATTAAGCCAACCTTCCAGGCAAGAAGTATGCTGGCTTGCCTGTATTTCGTCACAGAACAGCTTGGTGTGAGCCTGGAAAGTTTTCTGCCAGAAGGAATTGTTTTCTACCCTGGATTAACTTCAAGAACGTAGTTAGGCAAATTTATGTGACTATTAATGTTCATTTGTGAATCAAAGTATGTAAGAGCTAAGCCTAGCCTTGTAAAGCAGGACTGCAAGCCATAAACATCTTGGTTAATTAAATTCATTCATCTGTGCTGGCAAACATTTTGTACATTTCTCTTAAAGAACAATGCACCACAATAGTGATTTGAATATTTAAGTCTTAACAGTTTTCTTTGAAGTAACTGGCAGTCCTCCATAACCCTGGCTTGCTCTTCAATTTACTAGTTTGAAATACCAAGATGCAGTTGGGGGAGCTATGCAGATATATTAGCAAAGCTTCCAAAATCTGCATCCCTTAAACAGGGTGGGTAATGTGTATATAATACGTTTCTAGAAATTGAGAGGATTTCTTGCATATTTTGCAAGAAGGCAGGCTACAGGTAGTAGTAACCTCTGAATCATACAGACAACTTTTGCACACATTGGAGTAGCAACCTTTATGTTGTCAGTCTATCCCGAACATAGTTGCTTAGTTTTAATCCCTAAATCTTTTGTTTAAAGATCGGTTGTAACTACTTGTCTTCTGTGTGGATAATAATTCTGAACACAGGGATTTTTCCTTCATAGATAAATTATGTTGAACTCAGAAGTCTTGGCTCAGGAGCATTTTTCTCTAAACCTTACAAATGGAAAGGGAAGACCCAATAAGTCAGGGATGGGAGGGACCAGTCATGTTTATATTTAGCATCTGAGTTGCCAAAATCAATTATTTAGTGTAAGCCTATGTTCTTTTGAAGGATCAACAGCCATGTAGCAGGCAGGCTCTTGTTTTTTAAGTGTTTTGGATTTCATTCTTGGAACGTCCCCATAGCCTTTGAAGTGAGGTGGAATGGAAAAATGATATAGAGGCCATTCATTATTCAGTCCTACTAAATGAATGATTAGATATAAAATCAGTGTAAAGATTCTTCATATTTTTTGCATATGATTTTAGTTTTCAGCATTTGATTAAACGCTAAAGCCATAAGAGAAATAAACATATTAGAGGTAATACAAATCAATAAAAAATGGGTGATTATCAAGACTGGTCACCAACTGAAGGTGTCAGAACACTGGTGCAGGTTGCGTGCTGCAATGCCTGGAAACAGTAAAAATCAAAGACAGCATGAGCTTTAACTTTTATTAACCTCAATCTGGTTGTTTTACAGACTCTACATTAATTTTTCCATCAAGTTGCCATTGCACGTGTTAACCATGTTTTGGAGTTTGTGTGAACTGCTTTTTTTCTCGTTAAATACTTCAGAGTGGTCCATTTCATTCCAATCCAAAATACCATCTGGTTTTTCTAATCTCGAGTCTTGGTGTCTGTGTATAATTATTTATGGTAATAAAGTCATCCTTGTGGTATGCAACTGAGTGTAATGTGCGCCATCTTAGTGATATCTTTTTCTTCTGTATACAGGCTGGTTTAGCAGGAGCCCCAGCCCGGGCTGTGTCAGCTGTAAAGAATATGAATCTTCCAGAGATCCCAAGAAATATAAATATTGGTGACATCAGTATAAAAGTGCCAAACCTTCCCTCTTTTAAATAAATTGTGCACTCCAGGTAAAAATGAAGAAGAAATAGAAGTTGATCGCAAATGTTTACCAAACCAATGTTTTGCTGTTTAAATAAAAGGTCATGTTACCCTGTAGAAATCCTTTATAAAATTATGTGAAGTTGATTGTGCTTTGCTTAGTGAATTTAAAGAGAGTGGGTGGTTTGTGATTTCCAAATAAAATTCCTGTGCCCATCTAAAGCAAGCATATAATGTTCTGGAAAAATAATTCAAACTGTTTATTTACTTTGTAGGACATTTTTTTTGTATAGACTAAGCTCTGTAATTAGTACAGCAGTCCTGTATACATTCCTTCAAGTTATTTAAGATCCTGATTTAAATGTTGCATGAAAGCAATTCAGCTGTATCTTCTCTTGCTTTTTAAATAAAGTCATAACTATGTGGACTGCAATCATTTGTTTGTTACCTTTGTGGATAGCAATAAATGACTGTTCCATACTGTATTAACCTTAAAGTCTAGTGTATATGTCACTTGAGATGATCTCCGACCACAGATATGCTAGTTTTCAGTCAGAAATCTTGACTTAAATTCAGTGTAGAAGTTCTGTTGCAGAATCTGGGTTCCTACAGTAATAACAGCACATAATATCAAACTGCATTAAAATTGGATCATATAAACCATTTGCAATTGTGAAGTGTAGGGAGGAATTCAGTGTAGTGCTAAATTAAAGTTCCTTAGTAGTATACTAGTTGCAGTAGCAAAATGTCTTACACGAGAGGAGGCACAGGAAGCCAGCATGGTTCTTGTGGCTGGCTGCGTAACAGATTGCTGTAGCCCCAATACTTCCTGTTGCACAAGCTTTCACTAGCACAGCTGCTGCACTGTACAGTCATTCAAACTGTACAATCATCATTCTTGCCTTTACACTAGTGCAACATCCCTTACACTGGCAGCCAGAGAACTTTTAAGTAACAGAGAACAGTAAAGGAAAACACCCTGGAGCCTGACATTTAATAGGACTCTGGAACTTCCTTTTCATAATTTTTTACTTAAATGAAATAACTATAGATGCATTAAGGGTTGGGATTTTTAAAAAAACTAAATAGCTTTTGTATCTGGTTAGCCAAACCGAAAAGTGACAAACATACTTACCGTATTTTTCGCTCTATAAGACGCACCAGACCACAAGACGCACCTAGTTTTTGGAGGAGGAAAACAAGAAAAAAAATATTCTGAATCTCAGAAGCCAGAACAGCAAGAGGGGTTGCTGCACAGTGAAAGCAGCAATCCCTCTTGCTGTTCTGGCTTCTGGGATAGCTGCGCAGCCTGCATTCGCTCCATAAGACGCACACACATTTCCCCTTACTTTTTAGGAGGGAAAAAGTGAGTCTTATAGAGCAAAAAATACGGTATTTGGAAAGAAGCTTAAGATTCTTAAAATTCAGAGTTCTCTGAGCCTGTTTCAAATAAAGCTTCTTGGCTGGATTTTTATTGCATGCAAGGACCTAATGAAAGCTCTTGCCTTTTTCTTTCCACACCCATGTAATCAAACATATTCTCTCTAGAACCAGAAGCTCACTTAGATAATTGGTATTGAGCAATAGGTTGCATGAGAGATTTTGAGGATTTGAGTACGTAAGGCATTGTTTTCAGATAGATTTTCCACAACAATTAATGGAACAATTTAATGAAGGAGCACATGTATTTTGGGGTATGCAGCTGAAATATTGCAGGCATATCAGAATAACCATCTGCATTGGGAGCAAGGTGATTAGTTTTGAAGTATGAAAATTATTGTTGAGCACACGTCTGAATAGAACTGGAAGGAAAACAGTTACACTTGTATATCTGGAAACTAATTGGGTCTGGAAACAAGCCTTTCCATGTTATGGAAGGCTTTATAATACGTTTGTAAAGCTGGTGGTTGTTTTTTAATTCATGGATGAAAGGGACCTAATTTCAAGTGAACATGTTCCAAAAGACACTGTCTTCTAATTTTCAGTTATTTTAAAACTTTCTGTAGGGAAAAAAAATGGTTCTCAGTTGTCCCAGTTTTCTCAGATGACATAACTCATCAATAAGATTGTTTGAGCTCTCTGGTGTAAGGGAATACACAGGCAACTTTGTTCTTTTGGGGTACCCTATGTGGATCCTCCAGATATTGCCAGATACTACTCCCATATTTCTGACAATTGACCATAATGGCTAGGGCTATGGGAGTTAAGTCTACAAGCACATTGAAGGCACAATGTTGACTAGAAAGGTCACTATGGAAAGGTTAGGGGGAGGTAAACTTGGAGAATTATTGAACGTGTGTATTTTGGGGTGAAAAATAAAAGTACCCTTCCTATCGCTTAGGCTGCATGTGGGTAATACTTAAAATGGCTAAGCACTTAGGAAGGCAGTGAGCTTGGGTTTTGGGAACCTGGGACAGATAAGGCTGACCCAAAGCTGGGTACTGAAGACAACCAGTGCCAACTTCAGAGATCCAAGAGGATATCAAAGTTTATTATGAGGCCCAGAAGAGTTAGTGAGGGAACATATCTGCTCTCTGTTCACTTCTGCCTTGTCCAAAGAGGTTCTACCACCAAGCCCAAAAAACACTGACAGCCAGAAATAAAACTGTTGTAAAAGCTTTAAGCATATGTTGGCTGCTGTCCTCAGTTTCATAAATGTAGTCCTGGGGTCTAAATGTAGATAAAGAACAGTTGAAGTTTATTGATGAGCTGATTCTGAAAGAATAGGAACCCTGCAAATATGGTTTTTGGTTTAAATGCAGGAACCTGGCTTTGTAGCTGGCACAACGTATCTTTTTTTTTAAAACATAGAATAGTTTTAAGTCTTGTTCATACTTAATGTTAATTAAAAATACTCTGAAGGCATGGGGTGCTTTCTGACTTCATTACACTAGCATTCTCTAATTCAGCAAAGATGTTGGTCTTCATTCTTTTGCAAAACAATAAAAGCAGGGCATACAGGGGCAAGCCACAGGAATTGGGGGAGAGGAGCTATCAAGGCTTGAATGAAAGAAGTGACTGATCAGAAGGTCAGCGGTTCGAATCCCTGTGACCAGGTGAGCTCCCGTTGTTGGGTCCCAGTTCCTGCCCACCTAGCAGTTCGAAAGCACATCGAAGTGCAAGTAGATGAATAGGTACTGCTCCAGTGGGAAGGTAAACAGCATTTCTGTGCGCTGCTCTGGTTTGCAAGAAGCGGCTTAGTCATGCTGGCCACATGACCTGGAAACTGTCTGTGGAAAAACGCCGGCTCCCTCGGCCTATAGAGCGAGATGAGCACTGCAACCCCAGAGTCATCCACGACTGGACTTAACTGTCAGGGGTACCTTTACCTTTACTATTACACAGTTTTCACACCCCCACTTCAGTCCTTCCTTTTCTCTAGAGCAGTAGAGAGAGCTGCCCATAGAAAGCAGAAAAATCCAGGATATCCCTGTAGCTGTGATTGAGCTATAGGAAGGTGAATGAGATAGGATTGTACTCTCCCAGACCCTTTCTTGCAAAGGCCATCTATCATGGCAACCAAGGCGGTTTCTGTTCAAAAACTGGGCCTGAAACCAGATAAACTTGATCTTCTATGGAGCAGTTTGCGTACAACCCCTACAAATGTGTTCCGACATCTCATATTGGGTGGCTTCTCTATTCTGTTTTCTAGGCTGTTGCCAGAAGATTTCACTGACCACTTCTTATTCAGTGCATTAATTGCTTCCTGCCTTGTCCCTAACCATTTCTGTTAAGATTTTCATAAACTCTATAATCACTAAGTGGGTGGCCATAATCTCAAGCCTAGCTAGAAAAACAGATACACAATATCGTCAATCTTTGTTTGGTTTCCTTTTACTATATACACCATGGTTAAGATTGCTCTTCTTGTTTTCAAAGCTCCTTAAGGGCTTCTTTCACATCTTTGCTTCCCCATCTCTTGGGGGGAAAAGGAATGCAGAATTACTTAATCATTCCTCAAGCTAAATTCAGATTTATGCTATCCTGTCCATGGGGTTTTCTGTTCCCTTCCCCAATAACTGCATTGAGATTTTTAAAAGTTTGCAAGCTAAGAAGATGGGCTAAATTGAACTACAGTGGTGCCCTGCAAGACGAATGCCTCGCAAGACGGAAAACCCGCTAGACGAAAGGGTTTTCCGTTTTGGAGGTGCTTCGCAAAACGAATCTCCTATGGGCTTGCTTCGCAAGACGACAATGTCTTGCGAGTTCCTGCTGGTTTTTTCCCCTTCCCCCCCTTTTTTCTAAGCCGCTAAGCCGCTTATCAGCTGATCCGATCAGCAGATAAGCCGCTAAAAGCCGCTAATAGCGCTAATCCGCTAATCCGTCAATGGGCTTGCTTCGCAAGATGAAAAAACCGCTAGACAAAGAGAATCACAGAATGGATTCTTTTCGTCTTGCGAGGCACCACTGTATTGAACTAGAGCCAACCATAGGAACTGGGATGTAGGGGATTCTTGGAGGCTCTGTGAACCTTAAAATTAATTGGTATTCTAGCTTATCCATGATATGAAAATTCTATATAATTCTAACATGGCATACATTTAAATGTTTCAGCATGTCTTTTTAAGAAACAGCTTTACTCTCTTAATGTACAGAGAGGTGATGACATATAATCCAATGAAGATGCAAAATGTACCTGTGGAAGCCAACTTTATGCTGTGACTGTATAAATAGGATTTCCTCTGAGTTGCTGCTCCACTCCAGACCTGTTTTTCATGCCAGGGCTAAGCTCCAGTGTGTCTGGAAAAAATAGAGAAAATCTCTAGCATGAGGTCGTGGCTTCTCGGGATGCACTAAAACATTTGCACAATGTGCACAAAGAAACTTGTAACAATTGGTTTTATTCTGTTTTTTTTAATAGGGTTAGAAAAGGTTAAAAAAAGATGAATAATTGTAGGGGTCAGATGGGATTACCATGAGGAATTATAAAATATACATCTAGCCATCGTGTCCACGATGAAGACATTGTGTTGACTGGGTTTGATATATTGACAATAATTTCTGATTAAATCCCATAAGATTCTACATTCATGCCCTTTTGATGCCCTTTTGACTCTACTGGCCATTTCTCTCTCCTCACGTCACGTACACAGCAGTTGCTTCGCCAGGCAGGCTTCCTGGGCCATAAAGATAGTAGGCAAGTTTTTTGATGTAGTTTTCTTATATATAATCTTAGGATGTTAATCTTAGGTCCAGGAAACAGATCTCACATGAAGGTGATACTGATTGCTATCCTCCTGGCCATCCTCCTTATCATATGTATTGCTTGTTTATGACCTCCGGGGTTGCTGTATTCGCTCCTTTGTAGTATTCATTCATTTACCCCCAAAGTATGCATGGATAACTAGTGTTTATAGTTTAACTTGTCCCCACGTGGGTTTGTGGAAATGCTCAGAAGAAATCTGATTGGTTCTTACGAACACTCTGTAAAAA